TCTTTTGTACTCCACTTGTAATGGCAAAGTCGATGGCAGAGGGAGTTTTTCTCCGATCGTAGGGGTAGTGGGTGGCCGCACCAGTGGCCAGGACATTGTGTTTTTTTCGGAGCTGGGTCGCTTCAAACAATTCCCTTCCTCGTTGGCAGGACCTAAAGTTACCCCACCAAGGGTGTTTGGCATTCCAGTCACCGCATATTATGTACTTGTTATTTGGCGAGCCACTCGTCGTTATGTCAAAGACTGTAAAAAGCTGATGGAATTCCTTCTTTGTCCATCTGTAGGATGGCGGGCAGTAGAGCGGTGCGAGAACCGTCGTTCCCCTATCACTACCGTCATCTGGTAATAGGGAAACGGGGGCACATTGGATTTTTTCGCTGTTGATTGGCTGGAGAGCTGTATGCTTTACGTCAGTGCGGACCAGTGTGGCTATTCCCCCTCGACGCCTATTGGTTGGGTTTTTGGCGTAGTATGTGACGTATCCATCTATGTTGATGTCTTTGCATCGTGTCTCAATGACCATCATGACATGGAGGCCCTCCCGGTCCATGAACATCTCTAGCTCTTTTATCTTGTTTTTTACCCCGCCTGCATTCCAGAATGCGATTTTAATGGTGCCATCGTTTTGGGTTATACAGTGGATGGTAGGGGCAGATTCGGCAGAAGTATTGGAGGATAGGATTCTCATATAGTTATGTCTAGGCATTGGAAGGGTCATTTGCATTTGTGTTCACTTGCCCCGGAATAAAGGAGGAAAGTAATAGCGTCATCTCTTCAATTTTTTTCTCTAACTGTGTCATTCTTTTTATATTTTCCAGTATGACTTGTCTGCAGGAGCCGTCGCATCGTGAGGATGGCTGCTGGTGGTCTGGATCGAATTGGCGTTGCTGCTGCGGCTGCTGCCAGGAGCGTGCATTGACAAGCTGATGCTGCTGCTGCTGTCGCTGTTGTTGTTCGCGCTGCGGCTGCTGTAGCTGCTGCTGCTGTTGTGCCTGGGAACGGCTCAATGGCTGCTCTGGACGTCGTCGCCCAGTGCGTGGGCCAGAGGCAGCAGGCGTCTGTTTTTTTGTATGTATTGGCTGCTGCTGCTTCTGCTTCTGCTGATGTTGTTGTCCTCTTCGTCGCCCAGGAGAGGAGACATTGAGTGGCGTCCATGCTGCCTGCTGCTGCTGTCCGCGCCAGGGATTGGCTGGCGTTTGAGCTTGCTGTTGCTGCTGCTGTCGGCGCCCTGGATGTGCTGGTGTTGTTCTTGCTGGTGGTGGCTGCTGCTCTGGCAATGGCTGCAGAAGCGAGCTGCGCTTGCGACGCAACTCCTGCATGGCCACTCGGTGGGACAGAAGGCGGCCCCTTGCTGCCTTGAATGCCGGACATCCCTTGTAGGCGCTGATGTGGGCGCCCTGGCAATTGGCGCATTTAGGGGCGTCTGCCCTTGGCTTGGCACATGCCGTGGACGCGTGGGCACCCGCACACTTCATACAGACGAATGAACGCCTGCAGTAGGTGCGGGTGTGCCCGAATGCCTGACATCTGTGGCACTGGGCTGGATCCACCGGCTTGGCCTGCCTCTCAACGGTCACCAACTGGTTGCCCAGCTGGGTTAATTGGAGGACATCGTGGTGGCTTTCATCCGGCTTGGGGGCTATCTCCAACTCGAACTGGTCGAGCGGCTGTCCATCGGATCTCCCTTTAATGGCTCTAATAAATATAACATAATAACCCAATTCGGCCATCTGATTTTTTATTAGTTGGGTGCTTGTGGAGTGGTGTAGATCTCGCACGACGATCCGTAGCCCACGGTCACTCTTGTGCTGGTGTGTGTAGTGGCCAGTCATCGCCTCGTTGCCGTCGCCATCGCCCAGGATTGCCATGATGGCATCCCTGGTAGCCATGTCGCGGGCCTGGATACGGACACCATTGCGGCTGATGAGCTTGGTGTGATAGCTACTGTTGCCCACCCTCGGGTCATTCTGCAGCTTGTCCAGAATGGGCATAATGTCGGGGACAGCTGGCAGAATGATGGGGGGGGGGAATAATTGTGGTTGGTTGGTGTTGGTGCTGCAGCATCCGAGTTTGTCTGGCATTGGGCATACTCAGGGCGGGCAGCTGGAGCAGCCCAACGCCGCCGCCGCTGCTGCTGCTGTGGGTTCCTGTGCCGCAGCTACTAGTTGCATTTGCAGGTGAGTGAGGTAGAGCTAGTGGAGCATTGGCTGGAGCAGGGGCAGGGGCAGGGGCAGGGGCGGGGGCAGGGGCATTTTGTGTAATTGTCCGCTGATGTTGTTGCTGTTGCTGGTTTGATTGTTGGTGATGGAGATGGTTTTGAATTTGGGGGATATGGGATTTGCTTGCCTGTTGGTTACTTTCCCGGAGTCGTCGTTTGGCCGATGCATAATTGGCATCCAAATTGTCGTCGTCATCGTCATCAAACTCAACAACCATATCATCACTGTCATCATCGTCATCGTCATCCACCTCGGCGCGGACGCGCTTCAGTGGCGAACGGGCCGCTGCAGCAGAGGTGGATGGGATATCATCGGTATTGGCTGTGTTTGTTGCTATTGGCTGATGTTGTTGTTGTTGTTGATGTGTTTGCTGCTGCTGATGTTCCTCTGGCGGCGGTGGCATCGTCTGGCTGCCGACGTAATTGTAGTTGTCGTTTTTGTGTTTGATGTCGCTGTTTGTGTGCTGATGTATGTCATCATTGTATTTGTGGTTGTGGTATTGGCTGTGTGCATTGCATTTGGAACCGCTGCTGTGGCCGATCGAGCGGGGTTTGTGCCATGGCTGTGGTTCGAGTTCTAGTTGGTTTGTGTATATTTATGTTATTTATTGGCGTTTAAACTCTAGTTAGTTTGTGTTTATCATTAGGTTTGTGTTTTTATTGGCGTTTAAAATTAATCACATTTATTCACACATTTATTGGGGAGAAGAAAGTTTGTTGGTAGTAGTATTGGCGGTAGTGGTGGGGGGGAAGGGACTTTTTGTCATGTCAGCGGGGGGGGCACGGCACAGCACGGCACGGCACACGTTAGACAGCACAAAAAGAAAACAGGGCGCAACACAGAAAGAAAAACGGAGATGAGATGGCGACACGGCAAAAACGACACGAAAAACGATTTTTGGCACGTCCGACGATCGCGACCTCTCGAGCGGGCGGACGAGATGAGAGTGGCCTGGACGAGGTTCATGGTGGAACACTCATGTGTCCGCCAACTCCCATGCTCTCCACACTCGAGAGACCCGATCGCCGATCGTCATTTGCCGGTGCTCTCACCCCCGGTTCCACTTTCACTCACCCCAATATTGAGTGAGATGAAAATGGTCCGAGGGCAGCAGCACCGACAAGTAGGCAATGAAAATTTATGGCTGTTTGCTGTATTGGCTGTGTGTTGTTGTTGGGTAATGGCCCGTGTCTTATGTTCTCTGTGCTTCTCGTATTGGCTGCTCTGTTGTAAGGGGATGGGATGGGAAGGGGAAAGATGCCTGCTCCCGTATAACCGCCCGGATACTTTATACTTCCGGATCTTACGATCCGGGCGCGTGTAGCTCCGAAGAGACGACCGCATAGCATCTTGTGGGCGGTTGAAATGGCTTTGTTGGGGCGTGTGGCAGAGTGGCGATGGCTGGCAGTGTAAATTTTGATCCTGCTCAGCCTCATTTTTGGTTTTTATTGGCATTTGAAGTGGGTGGGGGTGGGTGTGGGATTGGCTGGGCATAATTGCCGAAGTTGGCGGCCGATAACACACTAGCATTGAGAAATGCAATTTAAATTTGAATTGGCTTTTTGTGTGTTATCGGCGCGGTATTTTCCTAATTGGCGTGGTATATTTTAATCATTAATGGCGTTGCCACTTGTCAAATATTGGGGAATGGGTGATAGTTGGGAAAGAAGGAGAAGAAGAAGAAAGGTAAATATGCTAAAATAAATAACTAAAATTAATTAAATTACATTACAGCTAAGGACAATCTATCTACAAATACTACAAGTAAGGACTACAAAACTACAGAGATATGTACAAGGTAAAACAAACAATAATTACAATACATTTACACAACAATAAACATACTTAAATATCATTTATTTTTAGCAGGAGGACAACTACAACAAAGCACCGGCCAGCATGGCAAACGCAATGCAGAACATTGCGCCGCATACCGGCCGGCTCCGTTGTCCCCCTGTGCAGGATTAGTGGCACCACCTGGCATCTTTAGTGGCGATGGCTGGACTCGGAGATGGCGTGCATCGTGGGCTCTGATGGTGTTGTTGGCGAGCGGCTCTGTTCCGGCCGCCCACGTTGCATCTGTCGCTGGTAGGTGTTGGCTGCTGCAAATAGAGTGGCGCTGGTCCGGCCACCCAACTGCATTGTCGTTGGCATTGGCATCGATATGTGATGCCAACGTTTTGTGTCATTGGCCGCATCCAAGTGGCTGCTGGTCCGGCCACCAGGATGCGTTGTCGATTTTAATTGTTGGCCGCATCCAAGTGGCTGCTGGTCCGGCCACCAGGATGCGCTGTCAGTTGGATTGGCCTGGTTTGTAATGGCCTTATTGAATGGCTGCTGGTCCGGCCATCCAGGTGAGGTGTTTGCTTTGGCTTTGGTTTTAATTTGTCTTTATTTGCAGGTGTTTGTCGGCGTTTGAATGTTGTTTGTGGCGACCCTTGTCTGGTTGGTGTTGGCGTGAAGACGTTTGCAGGCGAGTATTTGTGTTTTAATTGGCAGCCTTTTTTTTCCTGATTCTCCTTCTTTTGCAGGATTTGCTGGCGTCTGGCGGCTCAACACCGGGCCATCCCGCCCTCACATAATTGGCATGAGAGACGGGTGCGACCCAGTGGAGCGGCAACAGGCGCCAGCATCTGCGTCGTCGTTGGAATGGCAGCTGTTGGTTGTGAGTGGCGTGACGTCATTGTGATGGTGTGGTGGCAGCGTCATCAAAAGAGCCCTCCTTTTCCGCCCAATTGGCAGGAAATTGACAATGATTGTGGCGAGGCAGCTTCTTGGTGATCAGCTCTGTCTGTTTATTGGCAGGTACGTGTGGTTTTTGTGTGTTTTTGCTGTTTTTCGGGTTGGCGTGAATTGACTGTTTTTATTATGTTTTAGTGGCTGGCCTCTGGACTTTTGTTGGATTGGCGGTGGTAGTGCTGCTGATGAGGCCTCCAAATTTCGCCCATTATGCCTCAAGAGAGTTGCAGGAGTGGTGAGGCAGCTGCTGGAGGGGCAGCTCTGTCGGTTTAATGGCGGGTGAGTATGTTTGGTCATTTGCAGATTGTTGTTAATTGTGTTTAATTTTTGTCTATTTTTAGGTGGCATTGGCATTAAACTTCTGCTATTTGGCGCAGTCAGTACTCGCCGTAAAATCCGTCGCTTTCAAAGTCGCCGCTGGAGTGACCATTTAGAAACCTACGTAGGTCCTCGTAAGGCTCTTCATCGGTCCATTGGCTGTCGTCGTCCATGTCCATATCCGGCTCAGTGTCCGATATGGCTCCTGCTGTTTCTGTATTGGCTGCTGGTTGTGGTGGCGGCGGGTGTGTAGGTGGTGTTGTCTGTAGTGGCGGCATGGCTGCCAAGCCCCCGCCTCTAGCCTCTGTCAGGTTTGCGATCAGCGTGGCCATTGCTGTCAACCTTTCCTCCAGCAATTTAATTTTAATGGCGCTCTCTTTTAGGTGTTTGGCACAGCTGTCCTTGCACTGGGCGCCTGGCTGCTGCTGTTGTTGAGCACGATTTGGGATCGGCTGCATCGGCTGGACCCTTTGGTGTTGGCGCCCCTCAGCCAATGGCTGGGGATGTTGGTCGCGATGCTGTAGCTGCTGCCGATGCTGCCGACCCAGACCGCGCTGGCGTTGCTGCTGCGGCTCTGTGTGGAGTGGCTGTGTGGGTGGCTGCTGCTGCTGCAACTGTCGCTGTAGTGGCTGCCGGTGGCGTTGTGCTGGCTGTTGCTGCTGGATTGGCTGCTGAATTGGCTGCTGAATTGGCTGTGGCTGCTGCCGTAGTGGCTGAGGCTGCTGCTGCTGCCGCCGATTTTCCTCCTCTCTGGCGACCCTGTGGGCCAGGAGCCGCTGCCTGGCTGCCTTGTAGGCGCTGCAGCCCTTGTAGGCGCTAATGTGGGCGCCCTGGCAGTTGGCGCATTTGGGATTGACGGCCCTTGGCTTGCTGCACTCCGTTGTCAGGTGCCCGCCCGCGCATTTCATGCAGACAGCAGCTCGTCTACAATATGCGCGGGTGTGGCCAAACACCTGACATCGATGGCACTGGGCAGGGTCACGGGAGACTCCAAGTCTCTCAACCGTGACGGGCCTCCCACCCAGGCGTCGCAGCTTCAACACATCGTATTGGCCACGGTCCGGTTTGGGGGCGATCTCAGCCTCAAAGAGGTTGTATTGGCGGCTGCGATCGAACCGATCGGTGATCGCCCGAGCATACCGGACCGTGTACCCCTCGGCCTGCATGCTGTCCCGGAACCAGTCAGAGGGAGTGGAATGGGGAAGACCTCGGATGAGGATCCTCAATCCTCTGTCCTCCACAGGCTGATGCCCGAACTCGCCGTGCCGGATGTCATTGGCAATGGCAAGGGTGTTTGTATTGGGAGTGGCAGTAGTTGTGTTGGTGTTGGTTGTGGCGTTGGTGCTGGTGTTAGTGGCGGTGACGGTGACGGTGTTGGTGTTTGTATTTGTAATTGCGTTGGTATTGTCAGTATTTGTATTAGTAGTGGCCGAGGCAGAGGCAGAGGCAGGGGCATGTGTTGTCTGCGCAGATTGCGGCAGAGAGGCAGGAGCGGCAACTGTGTTGGTGTTGGCGGTTTTGGTTGTCCGTTTCTGTTGCTTTTGCTGTTGCTGCCGCAGCTCGTGCTGCCTCAGCTGCTCCTGAACAATGGCCTCCAGCTCCTCCATCGTTTGCCTCTTTTTAGTAGGCCTTTTGATTGGCAGCCGCTGCTGGTGATGGTGGTGATGGCGGCCCCGTCGTCTGGCCTGCTTCCTCTCACCCTCCTCATCGTCACTCCCACTGTCGATGAGGGCGCGGCGTCGTTTTGGTGTTGCTGGGATTGGCTGTGTTTGTGTAGTTGTTGCTGGTAGTGTAGTTGCTGGCTGGGCTATGGCTGGGATCGACCCGTTGCTCGAGCTCGAACCAAGTTCGACTCGCAACAGGTTCGATCCGTTCGTGTATGTGTGTGTGGCTGCCCGTTGGCCGTTTTGGCGCTCTGCTCCTGCGCGTCGGCTTGCCGGCTCTCCTCCGTCTTCTCCCTCTCCCGTTACTCCCGAACGGTTTTGAATGTTCGAGAGCGTGAGAGGCGGGAAAAGCGGTAGCGAGAGCGGCGTCCTATCGGCCTTTCCCTTTCGGTTTGGCGGGTTTTTGGGTTTTGGCGGGGTTGCGGGATTTGCAGTGGGTATTTTTGTTGGTATTGGCGCTGCTAATTTGATGGGGCTCGAGGGGGGAGTGGCTGTGGCCGTGGATATGTCGGCCATGGCAATGGCTGGGTACTCACACGATGGGTGACTGTGGCGACGTCGCTCTGCATTGGCTGGGGCGTTTGTGTTGGTGTTGGCGCCTGCGCCGAGGGCTCTGCTGCTGCTGCTGCTATTGGCGGTGTTTGTGTGGGTGTTGTTGGCTGCTGCTGCTGCTGCTAGAGCGCCTCTGCGGGCCGCTCTGCCGCCGTCGCTGTGGCGTCTATTCGACCCTCGTCTGGCCATTCCTCTCGTCATTGTTGTTGTTGGTTTGTGTGTTGGCGATTTGCTGCCTGTTTGTTCCCTTTATTTTATTAAAAAGTCTCTTGTGTGTGTGTGTTTGTGTTTAATGTATTTATTGGCACTTTCTGTCTCTTTTACACAGTTTTCTCTAGTTAGTTTGTGTATATTTATGTTATTTGTTGGCGTTTAAACTCTAGTTAGTTTGTGTATATTTATGTTATTTATTGGCGTTTAAACTCTAGTTAGTTTGTGTATATTTATGTTATTTATTGGCGTTTAAACTCTAGTTAGTTTGTGTATATTTATGTTATTTGTTGGCGTCTCTAGTTAGTTTGTGTATATTTATGTTATTTATTGGCGTTTAAACTCTAGTTAGTTTGTGTTTATCATTAGGTTTGTGTTTATCATTAGTTTGTGTTTTTATTGGCGTTTAAAATTAATCACATTTATTCACATTTATTGGGGAGAAGAAAGTTTGTCGGTAGTATTGGCGGTAGTGGTGGTGGTGGGGAAGGGACTTTTTGTCATGTCAGCGGGGGGCACGGCACAGCACGGCACGGCACACGACAGACAGCACAAGAAAAGAACAGGGCGCAACACAGAAAGAAAACGGAGATGAGATGGCGACACGGCAAAAACGACACGAAAAACGATTTTTGGCACGTCCGACGATCGCGACCTCTCGAGCGGGCAGACGAGATGAGAGTGGCCTGGACGAGGTTCATGGTGGAACACTCATGTGTCCGCCAACTCCCATGCTCTCCACACTCGAGAGACCCGATCGCCGATCGTCATTTGCCGGTGCTCTCACCCCCGGTTCCACTTTCACTCACCCCAATATTGAGTGAGATGAAAATGGTCCGAGGGCAGCAGCACCGACAAGTAGGCAATGAAAATTGCAATGGCTGTTTGCTGTATTGGCTGTGTGTTTGTTGTTGGGTAATGGCCCGTGTCTTATGTTTCATTTCTGTTCCGTTTGTATTGGCTGCTCTGTTGTAAGGGGATGGGATGGGAAGGGGAAAGATGCCTGCTCCCGTATAACCGCCCGGATACTTTATACTTCCGGATCTACGATCCGGGCGCGTGTAGCTCCGAAGAGACGACCGCATAGCATCTTGTGGGCGGTTGAAGTGGCTTTGTTGGGGCGTGTGGCAGAGTGGCGATGGCTGGCAGTGTAAATTTTGTTCCTGCTCAGCCTCATTTGGCATTTAGTGGTATTTGAAGTGGGTGGGGGGGGGTGGGTGTGGAGTTGGCTGGGCATAATTGCCGAAGTTGGCGGCCGATAACACACTAGCATTGATAAATGCATTTGAATTTGAAATAACTTTTTGGTGTGTTATCGGTCTGGTATTTGCGTGGTATTTTTGGTGATACCACATGTCAAGGGGAATATGGGAATGGCAGATAGATGGGGAAGAAGAGGAAAAAAGGTAATAAACTAATCAGAAACTACTAATAATATACAATTAACTACAAAAACTACATTAATTTACAAAAACTTATTTCTAATATCACAGGCAAGTAAGTAAAACTATGGACAAACTATCTACGGACATGCAAAAACTACAGAAACAACAGGATTGACATCTACAACAAAAACATTGATGCAGACAAGGTAAATAAACGATAATTGACATACATTTACACACATATAAACATATTAATTACAATTTATTTTATTTCTAACAGGAGGACAAACAACAACGGAGCACCGGCGGGCATAACAAACGCAATGCGAACATTACGCTGTATACCGGCCGGCTCTGTTGTCCCCCTGTGTGTTGTTTATTGGCGATGGCTGGATTCATGGTGTTGGCGTGCATCGTGGGCAAAATTGGAGATGGCGAGCGGCTCTAGTCCGGCCGCCCACGTTGCATCTGTCAGGTGGAGATGGCGCATCCCATCGAGTGGCACTGGTCCGGCCACCCGAGATGCATTGTCCAGTGTGTTGGCGTTGGCATCGAGGTGTGATGCCAACGAGTCGAGTATTGGCCGCATCCAAGTGGCTGCTGGTCCGGCCACCAGGATGCGTTGTCGATTCCAATTGTTGGCCGCATCCGAGTGGCTGCTGGTCCGGCCACCAGGATGCGCTGTCAGGTGGATTGGCCTGGCCTCCTCGGCCACGTTCGTCATCGGTTTGTAATGGCCTTTTGAATGGCTGCTGGTCCGGCCATCCAGATGTGGTGTTTTGTTTTTGGCGTTTGATTTTTAATTTATGTTTATTTGTAGGTACTTGTTGGCGTTTGGATGTTGTTTGTGGCGACCCTTGTCTGGTTGGTGTTGGCGTGAAGACGTTTGCAGGCGAGTATTTGTGTTTTAATTGGCAGCCTTTTTTCCTGATTCTCCTTCTTTTGCAGGATTTGCTGGCGTCTGGCGGCTCAACACCAGGCCATCCCGCCCTCACATAATGGCATGAGTGCCGGGTGCGACCCAGTGGAGCGGCAACAGGCGCCAGCATCTGCGTCGTCGTTGGAATGGCAGCTGTTGGTTGTGAGTGGCGTGACGTCACGGCCATGGTCAGGCGGCAGCGTCATCAAAAGGGGCCTCCTTTTCCGCCCAGTTGGCAGGAAATTGTCAATGATTGTGGCGAGGCAGCTTCTTGGTGATCAGCTCTGTCTGTTTATTGGCAGGTACGTGTGGTTTTTGTGTGTTTTTGCTGTTTTTCGGGTTGGCGTGAATTGA